CTCTCTCTCTCTCTCTCTCTCTCTCCCTGTCTTCCCCCTCCCTCTCTCTCCCTCTGCACCCAATAACTAACTACTGTGACAAGTTTCACAAATTTTTACGAAACAAACTCACATCCTTCCCCGTTGTTTCAGAAATATTTGACGCGGTAATTGACATAACAGCTTCCTTTGTGTTGGTTCGCTTTGGAAGTAACCTTTTGTTACATATCCTCAACTTTCTTATTTTTCATTTAGCCGAGTAAACTTTAATGTGGCATCGTGGAGAAATCAATCGCTCGTCAAAATAAAGAAATTGAAAAAGCACCCCGTTTACATTGCGTCCAATGGAATTTTTTTCGAGACTTATTTTATTATTATTATTTTTTTAAATTTTATCCCTTTTTTAAAAGTAATTTATTTATTAATTCGGTTTTAGGGGGTGGAGTATTCAGCACTATTAATGGAAATTTAAAAACACAACTATTTTGGTACTGATTTTACCTAAAGAATATTGATCCCTGGCTCCAAAGTTTCAAATTTGCAGTTCCGAAGGTGTATATTCAAACTTTTGAAATCATGAAACTTTGGCAGCCTTTTTCTCAAGACGTTTACCCCTGACACGGGCCGACCCCACCACCTTCCATCGCAAATATTCTCGACTTCTTTTCAAGACAAATTGTTTTGTTAGTGGGGGGGTCATCAAAAATAAGACACATGGACAAGTTTTACGGTAATATCAATAATTCCATAAAAATTATAATACCGTAGCGTCTACGAGCGCTTGATTCCTCCGTGTTGTGAAACATTTAAAAAGATGGAGCGGCAGAATACAGACGGAGAGATTGCCGTTTTTATCTAACTTGTGATCTTTAAACTAGAACCTCTGTCTGCTGTATAGTAGCAGCTACGAGCTCCATGTCCCTTGCAGACAAACATTGAGTTAGATTTCCATGTGGAGAGAAAATTGTTATCAAGTATCTCGGTCTGTCTGTTGGGACGTTGTATCTCCCCCAGACAAGTTGGCCCTGACAGGCAGGGTCAAACGAGTTCAACTCCTACTTGATCTAAATTGGGCGTGTAAAACGTAAAAGCACATTTGATTCCAATCATTGCAATCTCAAAATTCTATTCAAAGTTTTAAATGCAGCGTCTTTAGTTTTCTTTTCTTAAAAAATAGTTTTGGTAAAACTTTTACGGCGCTTGCTACACGAATAGGTCTAATGAGCGCCGCGAAGATTAGAAGTGTTACTAGAGAGTAGCGTTCAAAGAAAAGAAGGAGAAGAGAAAAAGACGGTAGATGTTTGGTTGGAAAGGAGATTTAAATCCACACCAGAGCACCCGCCAACAACTCCCATCAGGTATAGATAAAATCTGTAGCTTAATGAATTATAATAGTATGCTAGGTGTGCACTCAACTCAAAAGAAACGAGTTAGTTTCTGGGGTGTAGAGGATATTTCTTGAAAGTTCCCTGCTATGACGTCACCGACCTAGCCCTAGTCGCGTGTGCAAGTGTAACTGTTGCCGTTTCACGCCCCCATCGACATAATTTGTGAGGCACCGTGTTGAAATCAGGCGCTCGTCAAAATAATGACATCAGAGAAAAGGGCATTTTTTCCACAAGTTTTGCAATTTTTATCGAAATCTATGTTTGTATGAAAACACATGTCCATGTGAATTTTTTCTGAAAACCTTGTTTAAAGGCACAAAATATGTTATTTTCAGTTTTCAAGGACTCTTAAGCTATTGAAGTTGCCAAACTTTGACGGCCATTTTCTCATTAATTTAACCACTGAAACCAGGCTACCCCACCTTCAATCGCAAATATCTCGACTTTTATTTAAGCTAGATGATATTTTTTTCATTTAAATCAAGGCAAATGAATAAACTTTCAGGTGATATCAATAACCCCACATGTCCAAAAGTTGACGAGTGCCTGATTCCACCACGTCGTGCCACATTTAGGATATTTAGGAGACGGGCTGCTTAGGCTATATTAGACAATATTATGTCCGTCTTGTGGCGTCGGTGGCCTAGAGGTTAAGCTCTCAGACTCGCAACCGTAAGGTCGTGGGTTCAAATTCCGTCAGGGACCTGATGTTGTGTCCTTGGGAAAGGTATTTTACACGAATTTTCCTCACTTCACCCAGATGAGAATGGGACAGTGAAAGATATTGTCAGTTTGGTAGTGTTTGAGCGCTTAATCAGCTGCTTGCACTGTATGCTTCGACAAAACTGAGAATGTTTCTAAGTGTTCTATGGTCTGCTAGGGTATATAATATAGTAAAGCTCACGGAGCTTGCTATACAGCGAGGTTATGTGTTATGAACATGCTACTTATTAATATATATATATATATATATATATGTGAGGCAGCGTAGTGAAATCTCGTCAGGTTTTGGGCATGTAGAGTTATTGGTATCATCTTAAAGCTTGTTCACCTGTCTTTATTTGGATGAAAAAAGTATCCATTTATCTTGAATACAAGTCGAGATATTTACAATTGAAGGAGGTGAGGTCACCTGTTTTCAGAGATAAAATTAGTGAGAAAATGGCCGCCAAAGATTAGTTATTTCCTTAGTTTAAGAGCCTGTGGTAACTGAAAATTTACATTTTTTGTGCCTTTAATCAACGTTTTTCATAACAAAATCCATACAGAAATGAGTTCTTTAATGGGCATGAAAGGTGTTGATCCAAAAAAATAAAAAAAATTGATAAAAATGCACAAACCTGCGGAAAAACGCAAGTTTCTTCACTTTGATTATTTTGACGAGAGCCTGATTCCACCACGCTGCCTCACATACTATTCCTATTAGAGTGGTACAAACTACTAACAAAAGGGCGGAGAATTGTCAAAGACGGCCAGGCTTTGTTCAGAACAAATGTTGTCGTATTAGACGGATGAGCGTCTCACAAAGTGCCACTAAAATATGTGAGGCGGCGTGGTGAAATCAGGCCCTCGTCAGAATAATGGGTATTTTTTCTCAAAAGCAAGACAAACGAAGAAGATTTAAGATGATACAAACAGCTCCAGGATGCCCGAAAATTAACGAGCGCCTGATTTCACCACGTCATGACACATATACGAGTATATTATAAAAGGCACGAAAGGGGACGAGGGATGGGGGTGGTGGTGTGGGAGTGGGGAAAGTGACAGCCTGTACAGGGAGTTGTCTTGGACAGGTGGTCGTTTTGGACAGATGTTCGTTCAAATAGGTTCAACGGTATACGTATCGACTTGCTATTAAATGACCTTTGAATGACACTGTCTGAGAAACCCAGCAAGATAAAAGTATGTCCTGAATTGAGGAAAACATTTACACCTCAAAGCTTTACAACACGGAATATCAAATTGAAATCCTTTGCAAGCTGTGTGTGGTGTGACTGGTGTGTTGCCAACACGGGAAGTGGAGGAAAGAAAAAATGTGTTTGTGAGGGAGTGGTATG